TGAAATATTTTTTTCTACATAAATATACTACTTTATTTATTCCCTATTGGTGCTACCTAAGTATTTTTTGTTAAGAATTTTAAAGCATTAATTGTATTATTTGTATTTAAATTTAATTTTTATTAAAGTTTCTTAATCTTGTAATATTTTTATAAATTTTATATATTCTTAATATATTAATTTTTATATTTTCAATCTATTTATAATACTTACTTAATTGTTGTTTTTATTTTATGAAAGACATATTGCAACGTTTTTTTTACATAAAAGTTTTTATAGAAAATATTTAATAATGTTAATATAAGTTAAATAATAATAAAAATAAAAATTGTAATTGATTCTACTTTAATTTTTACGAATTTATTAATTTTTACAGTTTATAAATTTAAAGAAATTTGCGGGAATGGATGATAAATGTCGGACCAATCACAAACCGGGGAGAAGGTGGCCAGACTCTTATTAGAGGGTCACTAGTTACGACTGAACTTTATCGTGCATGAGTAATGACAATTAATATAGAAAGGAGGTCACTTTTCATTTTGTGAAAATTTCCGAGGGACAGAATTAATTACCGTGAGTGTACTTGTTTTTCTGCTTGAATTGACACATGCGCAGAAAGAGAAAAAGTCACTGAGCAGGACAGCAATACATCTTCTGTCCTGCTCTCAGTTGCTCACACTTTCCACACACTGCTTAGATGGGTTATTCCTATTCCAGTATTATAAGTTCTATGGGGGACGGGCGCGACGGCACGAGCGAAGCGAGTGCGTACGCGCGCACGTGACGACCTATAAACAAATATGCCCCCACTGTTACACATAGAATTTTTCTTTGTGTAGGGCACATTACGTGCACGCGTGAAGAAAAATATAATACCACTGCACGTATGGCTGCGTTCGGAAACATCACCCGAGTGCCTCAGTGTATCGTCTTATCCTCGTTTAACATGGGTGAACAACAAGGATAAGACGATACACAGAGGTACTCGGGTGATGTTTCCGAACGCAGGCCAGGAAGTAAGATATAAGGAGACTGACTCCACTCTGTAAAATCAAAGTGGACTCATTTTAGGTTTCGAGTTCAGTTTCCGATTCTCGACACTCGCAGCGCTCGTGAATTTAGTAGTGTTGCGCATAAATGAGTGCGAATGAGAAATGATCATTTCTCTTACTCGCACTCAAACACTACTAAATTCACGAGCGCTGCGAGTGTCGAGAATCGGAAACTGAACTCGAAACCTAAAATGGTTCCATATTTTGTAGACTGGCGAGACTGAGTGGAGTCTCCTTATATCTTCCTTCATGCCTGAGTGCTTCGGTGTATCGTCTTACCCTTGTTTAACATGATTGGACAACAAGGATAAAACGATATACGGGAGTACTCGGGTGATGTTTTTGAACGCAACTCTTGGGAACGCAGATAACTCTTGGGTGCATTTTTGATATGATATACGTAACGCAAACTATAGCCTAGAGTTACCTAGGCGTAATTGAACGCAATCCAGTCTGAATTCTACATAATAATCGGTTCTTATTTCAAGACTGCCTTAAGTAATGGCTGCGTTCAGCACAGAAAGCAGCTTTGCAACTGTTGTAAAATTCTTTAATATGATTGGTCTTGCCCTTATTTCCTCGTTAGATCTAAATGTATAAGCCAATTATATTCAAGAATTTTACAACAGTTGCAAAGCTGCTTTTTCTGCTGAACGCAGCCAATGTCTTATGCCCACAGATGTCTATACTATACTAGATTGCTAACATCTGTGGATTAAAGCATCAGAAAGTGTGGCGGCAGGATATCCGGTTTCAGCCATGTTCGACCGCAACAAAATGGCGGCGAGCATGCGCATTGGTGCATAGATGTGATTTCTTTTCGACCGCAACAAAATGGCGGCGAGCATGCGCATTAGTGCATAGATGTGATTTCTACTAATACCAAGAAGACTAGAACCAGGAGAGTAAACTCGGTCAAATATCGGTAGAAGGGGTAGGCCAAAAAGTAACGGCGGATAACTTTCCCCACTCTTGCGCTTTATTAGTCCTCTCTGTCGCTCTGATAGTCGTTTTCAATTCGTCACTGCGCATGTCAAACAAACCTTGTTTGACATGTGCATTTAATATGCAGTATAATTTCTTTTTACGGTAATTATACAGAATCACTCGAGCAGCTTAAAAATCGATCAAATTAGGCTTATTCGACGCGTTTTTGCATGAAACGAAAGAATCTGGCAGAAATAAGCGTCGCTCTGCCCTACGAACCGAGATATTTAATGTTAAAGTTGACGACTATTCAGGTTAGGAAATCTGTCTTACCGACTATGGGTGCGTTCCGTTTCACGCATGATGCGCATAGAGAGCATGGAAGGCGTTCCGTTTCATTCCATGCTGTGTTCATGCGCGCATGAGAACGTATACGGCTCGCAGCCTAAGAAAGCGCATAGGTACGCATGGGCTGCCTCAGCTCCCGAGGTGAGGCAGTTCATGCGATGCCCATGCACAAGGGTTATGTTGGCGCGGGAAAAAAGTTGGCCAGCTGTTCCTATGTTCCTATATCTTCCTGTTCTAAGTTAATAGTGATAATTAAGCTGATAGTGCGAAATGAAAGAGCTCCAGATTTTCGTAAACGACGAAATATGGACATTTGAAGTATCCGATGCTGAATTTATAGCAGCAACAACTGGCAGTAAGTATTATCGTGAAAAGCTTTGATTATAACCTCAACTTCAAAATTTCTTAAAAAACAGTAAGCCAAATTGCTGAACGACTATTAATTGGGGTGACAGATATCTTAATCTCTAAAGTCTTCAACTTTAATGTTTAATATCTCGTTTCACGAGGCCGACCGCCGCATTTTTCGGTAAATAATTACTAAAACAGCAATGCAATGTTTACTGATGCAATGTTTACTGAATTAGAATTGTATTTTTTTATGTATGTGGTGCAGATTTCATAAACATTGAAGTCAAATTGTTTTTTAAGAAACTTTCATTTTTTGTAAAATGCCTTCAATAATTAAAGTCTTACTTTATTTTTTGATAGATAATGAAGTTCTTAAACTTCTAGTAGATCGAGAAAATGAGAGACGAAGTATGGCTATGATTAATGAAGAACAAGAACGTAATATATCAGAAGAATCTGTAATCTGTGTAGATACACCTATAGCAGACGAAGCCAAGAAAGAATCTTTTATTTGGCCAGATGAGGCAGTTCTTTTATTTCTGGAGATTTATCGGAATAAAGAGCCTACTTTTGCTTTGGGTCTAAAACGTCACAACAAAATATGGTTAGAAATTGCCGAAGAAATGAAAACATCAAACTACAACGTTACTGCTGTTCAGTGCCAAAATAAAATGTCAGGGCTAAAAAGAACATATAAAAATATAAGTGACAGCAACAAAAAGTCAGGTAATCATTCAAGTTCTTGGGCCTTTTACTCTGCTATGGATTCAATATTTGGAAAAAAGGCATGGGTAGCGCCTGTATCAATAGCCAGCAGCGATGGTCCCGTTTCTCCAAGCACTTCGTCATCCACCATATCAGAGATATCGATAGACGAACCAAAACCAAAGAAAAGGCGAGTGGAATCTATTTTGGAATCATTCATCATGGAAATAAAAACTGATAAGGAGAAGGAGAGGCAGGAGAGAGAACAGCGAAGAGCTGAAAAAAAAATAGAAAAGGAAGAGAGACAGAAGCAGATTACACAAGAGCAGTGGAAAATGCACCAAGACAAAATGAAGTTGCAGCAGTCTTTAATTGACGTACTCAATAAAGTTGTTCAACGCAAAAAAGAAGAAGTTACAGAAGAGATTTAATCATGGTCTATAATAAGTTGCAAACACTTTATTATCAATTACAATACTTTGTGACAGCCAATCAGAGGCGTTAATTACTATTAACACTTCTGATTGAGAGTTACGAAGTGTTGCAACTGGCGATGGTGTGTTTGCAACTTATTGTAGACCTCGCTTTAGGAATCTAGTGATGTAACCTTCTTTTTATACAGACTGCATCATCCTAGTTAAGATATATTTTATTTTATTTTATTTTTACTTTTTTTACTTGATACGAGGTCGAAACGCGTTTGTTATTATGTTATTGTTTTTTTGTTTTAATTTTATTATATATATATATGCTCGTTGTCGTGCTAAATATTTGTTTATATTTCTTTGAGCATTTGTCTGACTATTATTCTATCATTAATCTTAATCTTTAATGCATAATCTGATATGTGCTTAACATTATTTTTATAATATAAAATTTTAACATTATTTGATATTTCCAAGATATTTTATGATACTGCATCCTTTGTTCTGTTTTTATACTTTATGTATTTTATTTTTCTCAGAACGTGAAATTTATACTTTAAAAAGTAATAATAGTAAGAATAAGTGAAAGTACTTTTGAAAGTAATAATTGATTTTATATTCCTCGTATGTCACTTTCTTAGACTTTGTTCTTTATTTTTTACGTTAATGTTATAATATGTGGTAATAATTCAGTTATAAATGCAGTTAACAGAATTTTTTACTTACATTTATTTTATATTACTGCCGTTCAAGATTTGTAATTCTGTGAATATTCGCTTAATACATATAGGTATTCAATAAATGCATTCAGAAGGACGACCGTTTACTGAGCATTTAGTGATATCTTTGTACCTGCTTGAACTATATTTTTTAATTTAATGGAATATGCTAATCAAATGTAAAAGTTGCATCTGATGAGCACTCAGTGAACGGTCGCGCTTATTGATATTATGTAGAAAAATACATAAGCCATTGGAGGATTGACAATAAAACAGTGTTGCAGTAATTCTATGTTCATACAAACATTCAAACTACTTTATTGTCATCATTACGTAATAAACATCTTTTAATAATCAAATTAAATGACACATGTTCCTTTATTTATTTTTAAGTTTAATATAAGAGTTATTATTACAAGTTATAAATTTGTCGAAGTATAGAAAATTTTTATAATATATTATTTTAAAGGCGATATAAGAACAAAATTTATAATTATATAATTTTTGGGGAGGATCCCATTTGCCTACATTCCCGATTGCACACACCACTCATATCAGTCAGTGCTTAGTAATTTTTTCCTGCTTTACCAATTTATTTTTAAATCGACCAATCAACGAGCAATGTGTGCAATCGGGAATAGGCAATTGGAGCCCTCTCTAATTTCTGTAACTGAAATTTAATCTAATTATTTTCATTCTCAAGTCTCATCCTTAATTCAGACATAATTGTTGTTCTCTTTTGGTTACCCAAATCTGCATATGCTTCTATGATATTGGGAACAACATTCTCATTGCTGGGATAGACAACAACTTCAACATTGTCATTTTTTAGTATGCAGATGTTGTGCATTACACAACATGCAATAATGAACTGTGGTATCTTAGTGATATCAGTGAGAGGCAGACAGTCGAGCAAAATTCGAAATCTTACTTTCAAAAGTCCGAAGGCTCTTTCAATGGCCATGCGAGTAGATGATAAACAATAATTATAGTTTTTTTGCCTTGCAGTAAGGTGCCCATTATCTCTAAACGGTACCATGACATGTGGGTGAATCGAATATGCTGCATCTCCAAGAAGGTGAGAATTCGAAGGAAAATACTCATCTGGCCTCTGAATGAATTCAGCTAAAGGAGAGTTCCTAAACACTCGTGCATCATGCACTGACCCTACATGGCCTGCATAGCAATGAGTGAACAGACTTCGAGCATCACATACAGCTTGAAGGTGAATGGCATGATAATTTTTTCTGCAAATATAAGAAGCTGCATCTTTTTTAGGAGCTCGTATCTGTATAAAAGAGCCATCGACAGCCCCAATAACGCCTGGAAAATTTTTTGCCCTTTTAAATTCTTCGATTACACGGGTGGCTTCCTCTCCTCTTGGCCATTTTATAAAGCGTGGCGCTAAACAGTGAAGAGCATAAGTCACACGTCTCACAGCACGTAGTGCAGTAGCCTTTCCCACACCAAACTTAACGCATAAAGACCTGTATACAAAATATATAATAGGGTTTGAGCTTATCCACACAAACTTGCATATGTGCATAAGCAAAGAAATAGATTAGTTCATTTCTTTACGCATGTGCTAATAGACCAATTTTTTCTTTACACATATGCTTGTGCATTATACAAGTTTGTCTCAATAGGCTCTTATAACTGCAGTACTATGCTACTTCTTTTAGTGCACACGGTGCAATAAGTTAAAATGAAACAAATGTATATTTGTTTCACTTCAACTTATTGCACCGTGCGTACTAGTGTTTAGACAGTGCAGGAACAAAAAAACAGACCTATAATCAAATATATACCGATATGAATCTGGAGTAGCCATGAACTACAACGTTATCATAAGCTGTTTCTCTGGAGATATTTGCTTTCTTCCACAAGTATTTGTAGCATTTAAAGCTGGCAATAGAAGCCTTAAAGTCATTTGGAAAGTTTCTGGAAAAACTCTACAATTTAACGAAAGTTAAATATGGCAGACTTGTGTTTATCAGTCACTGATAAGAAATACATTCATACAAACCTAAAATGTTCTTTAAAAATTATTTTGGAGTATCCTGGAACAACGCGTTCTACATAATCGGACAACTTTTCTATCGGATGAGTTTCACCCCTCGTTTCATTCACCATCAATATGGTATATAGGATACGTATTTCGTTTTCTTCGTCATTGGAATCCTCATCACTGTTGTTAGATGACGAAGAGGTTTCATCATCTTTTCCATCAATATCAAGTAGGCTACAAATAATAGTGGAAGACACCACACAGAGTTCATCATCAGTCGACATTTCATTCGCCATATCTTCTTAAATGATACACTATATTAGTACTTCTTCCGATCTTTCTCTTTAAGGATTTTATTATCTTTGAATAAATATAAGGCTTTCTGAACAAAATATTACTCCTAATCGTTGATATCCCAGACAAAATAAAGTCAAAAATTGAGACATAAGACTTCTTTAAGACATTTTTTAGACGCCAAAGACGTCTTATGTCTCGATTTTGGATACTTTATGTTGTTTGGGACGAAACACTTACAAAATTACAAATACTGAATAACAGGAATAATACCGATAATAACAGAAATCCGCCGTGTCTGTTTATAACCTTATAATCGCATGGATGCGCGCATGGGATCATTGGGATCCGTTCCGTTTCTCTATGCACATAGGGAAAAAGAACCGAGCTAATGCGCGCATATGATGCGCTGCGTTCTATGCGGTCCATGCGTGAAACGGAACGCACCCTATACGTAGTGGTACGAGTATGCTTTCTTCATGCTCTCTGACCTCGTGCGCATGCGCTTGGTATGGTTTGAGTCCAATAGCATGCACGATATTTGAAATTAACACTGCCAAACAAATATAATATATTGTTGTCAGACGCGAAATTCTACAGCTTTCCCTGTTCAGAAACGTTGAACTTTCCACGCGAAGTAACTTCTCCCCCTCCTGCACAGGGGCACACGACTTCTACGATTGTACTGTCGGGACAGACCTCTGTCCATCTCTCCCTCCCCCCCTGCTGAGGGGCGCACGACTTCTACGATTGTACTGTCGGGGCAGACCTCTGACGACGGTGTGGGTGCGGGGGGGTGGCCGGAGGCCGAAGGCCGTAGGCCACCCCCTT